GGGGGGAGGAGTGAGGGGTGGGGGCAGGATAAATCTTCCGTGTTGACAGTTTTGGAAAGTCTGACAAAATGCTGCTGCGAGATGGCCAGAAAAGTCTTGCATAACATTGAGACTGCAACACCAAGCGCTTTTCCAAAGTAAGTAGAAGCAGATCGCATCCATCTCGTGTTTCGCTCAATGTTTTTACACCACCGCTGCATTCTTTCCTCTCAGCAAATTTTAAAGGCCAACAATCGTCCGACGAGACCCTCCGATTGGTTCCCCATTAACCACGGAGCTGGGGGCTTTACCTTTTTGAAGAAGGGGGGTGAGGGGGGGATGGGCACGGGACGGAAGACGAGCCAAATGGCTCTCCCCCATTTGTTGGGGAACGTTCATCTCCCTGTCAAAGCACGGTGGGATGTCGCGGCTGCTTTCGATTGGTCGCACTCCGCCCCGTTGCTCCTCTCAGAAAGCAGAAATTTGATTTGCACATATGTTCGAAGCATTACCTCCGCCAGAGAGATTAGGTTTCACCGCCATTCTCTAGACTGCAGAGATTCTGAGTGTGAATCACACATCGATGACATTCGCATCTATTAAGTAATACCCGATGGCCTACATTAGGATTGCTCGCCTTTGGCTGAGGTTTGCGTTCCCCCAGCTGCCATTCCAGTTCTTGGTTTAATTTTTCATTTCAACTGCCTCAACCTGATTGATGCCAAGGGAGACAAAATGGGAGGGGGGGGTGGGGGCTCTCGTGGATTCTGTATTGCAGCAACAGACCTGTATCGACACCCCGTGGAGAAAGCTGTCTGATTTTCCTTGGAAATGTATGAAGCAACGTGGAACCTGCTCAGTCTTCAGCCAGATATTTTTCAGTCACTTATGCTCAAAAGCTCTTTCGGCCCTTTCCAAAGCATTTGCCTTGTCAATAAATCCCAACTTTCTTACCAGAAAAGCACCTAAAAGGTTGCTAAACTGGTCATTTTGGTCATAATGTAATGCTAACACTAATGCCATGCTCCATACCCGCATAAACTGTTGATTAGATAACAGTTGATGCACAAAAACTAAATTGTGTTGCTATTCGCACAAAGCCATCTCCTTTGTTTAATCTCGTTTCATATCGGTGTGTGTACATTACACCTGGCAAAAAAAAAAAAAAAAAAATGTCAGTTATAGGTTTGTACAAATTGTATCGATTTCATCATTGTTGCACCAGGCAAAGTTTGCAGCAAATAACAAAAAGCAGCGAGCACTTCCCAAGCGGCTCCAATGGGACACACATGCTCCGATGGGGCTGTTCACAGGCCCAGGCACACACACAGCATTAGCAAACATGGATATTCTGGGACGCCTTGGCACCGACACACTGAGTCCTCTAATAAACTCTCAGACAAGCAGCCAGACGCCACCTCCTGTCCCTGCCGTGCGGCCATGTGGTCACTGCAAGCCCTCGTGGGGGCACATGTGCTGCACAAGCGCCGAAGTGAATCTCCACCAGTGATAAGATTCGAGGGCTTGGTTAATATGTTCCTGCTGGGAATTGTAGTCAGAGTCAAGATTTGAATCAATGACACATCTGCTCGAATTCAGGTCACGTTTGCTCACTTGAGTCATGTCAAAATCTGCGAGCGTCGATTGACTGTTGTGACCAAAGCAGATGGAAAAGTGATCCCCCCCGTCCCCCAATCTCATGATTTTCACACGTCTACCCAAAGGCCACAGGACACGTGCAGGAAACTCCCCTTGCAGCCACCCGCTGAATTGCGGGTAATGAGCCTTGGGCAGGCAATTGGGCTTACAGGCTTGACGACAAGCAACTTGAGCATATGTGTGTGTGTGTGTGTGTGTGTGTGTGTGTGTGTGTGTGTGTGTGTGTGTGTGTGTGTGTGTGTGTGAGAGAGAGAGAGAGAGAGAGAGAGAGAGAGAGAGAGTCAGAGAATAGATGCAATGTGCCTAACTTCCACATGGGGGCAACAGACTGATGTGTGAAGGAACCTCGGCCACACCATAGCATCATCTGTGCTTTCTGTGTCAGACTTCATTGAGTCTCATCTAAATATGTTAATCGATACTAGTAACCTGCTTTAAAGTGATACGTAAAAATACGCTACAGACAACGAAAACATTCAACAAGATGTTGCCCAAAAAAAAAAAAAAAAACGTAAACTATTTCACTTGAGTCCATAGTGACAGATGCCATCTGGTGGCTGAAGTTCACTGGGATACGTGTACCGTCACTGCCGGTCTGGTTTGTAGTAATTTTATCCCGAGCTGGTTTGTGTCCCTGCGTTGACATAGAAACCAACGATGTTGTCGGCCGCATCTGTGAACCAATGTTAGGGAAAAAGGTGGCCCGTTCATCACCGCAATTTCGGTAGACGTCAGTAAGCGCTTCTTGGTTTTATACCATCTCTAGATGGAGCCACCTTTCCAGGCTTGGTCTCTAAAACGGCACATTTGATCCCAGCGGCCTAGTTGTCAAAGGTACTGTTTTTACAGATGCCGCGGCAGTCGATCGATGTCGATCCCCAACCGCAAAGGGCTTATTTGAAGCGAAGCGCTTTGTCTCACCCACCGCGTCCCGCTCCGTTTGTTGAACCCAAATATTCCCACAGTCTCACGAGAGCTGTAAATCACAGAGGGCCGAACGTGCCTCTTGTGTCAATATTTTTTTGTCCCGCACCATAAAAATGGTCACGTAAAAGTTAGGCAGTGCAAAGGTGGCGTTTCCTGCTCGCTAGTGGACCAGGATGTGGTCTCGCACCTTCGTCTATGATGATCTTACCTTCTCTTGGGCCCTTGTTTCTCGTGAAGTGTTTTTTGATGACGACAATGCACGGTTTCTGTCATTACAACCATCGCAAAGTTTTTTTCATTATTTTTTTTTTATTCTTTCAGGACACCTTTCGCGGGAGCTCCCTGCCTGGAGATGAAGAGGAACACCTTTGTTGCTGATATATTAAGAGTTTAAGCTATGGTAAGTGCTTGTGCCTTTTTTTTTTTTTTTTATGCAATGAGAGGTTTTTATACAGCATTTATATACAGTGTCTATACATAAAACATTCACACCGACTTAGGGGTGCAGCGGGGACACCCTGCTTTTGAAAACAAACAAAAAAAGGTAGCAGGGGAAAAGAACATTAGGAAGCGATTCCGGAAAAAAATAGCAGGAATAAAAGCATGCATATAAATTTTTGGGCATGACATTTTAAACATATATGGTTTATTCTAAATTTAGAAATGAACCTTGGTTCTCACTGAACAGCAAAAAATGAAAGAGGAGACGAGTAGTGAGCGTGAGCAAAGTGATGGAAGTCACGCCTTCTCGAAAACAGAAATGATTGAAAACTTTCTCGGCTTTCCCGCCTGCTCCACAGGCCTCGTCTTCAAAAAAAAAAAATTAAAAAATTAATAACCGTCCCATATGATGCGCATGACTATGCTACAGTATGAGTGTGAGAATATATTACGGCTCTACCAATGATATGCAGCGCGTGTTTGCTGCAAGCCGTTTTTTTTTTTGTTTTTGTTTTTTTGTTTTTTTTAACGACCAACCAAAACCGAGTTGAATACCGGTCTAAAAACAAATGTAGTCAAACAAAAAATGTGCTTGAGGTCCATGTCCACCATCAGGAAAGAGTTGGGTCAGAAGGGTGACGGTCAGTGGTCAAACACACACACACACTTTCACACGCTCATTTACAAATGCACACTTCCTTTGTGGTGGCTGTGGTGGTAAAGGATGGTGGAGGGGGAGGGGGGTGTCGGGCAGAGAGCCGCTCTACTTCTTCCTGTAGTTGCCCAGCTGGATGGCGGAGCGGTCGAAGACGCAACGGAAGGTGATGGGCTGCACTTCCCAGTAGGGAACGGGGTTGCTGAAGAGGCTGATGCCCGAGTACATGGCCTTCTTTGTATTGAAGCCGGGGGGGCAGAAATCCTCCGTTCCCACCGCGCCAATCTTGTTGACATGGAGGTAGACCACCTGCAAGCAGGGGGTTGAATTAATTGCAACCGTGATTTCGAAAGGATGATCATAATCACTCTCGATGAGAACTTATGCGCAAACTACCAGGGCCCACGCAATCCAATTGTGGCTCTGTATTCGCTGCGTATTGAAAGAAAACGCCAGCCAAGTTTCTGGGGAAATCAGTTGAGTCGTTTTCGCCAAATCCTAACCGCTGACAAACGTTGCTCGAAACCTCCCGGCGGTATGACAAAGCGAGGGTCGAGATGCACACAATTGTGACAATCATAAAATCTCACAAACTGGATGGTGGTGAAGCACTCTTGACTCATTTCCAACGAATCCCGCAAAGAAACAAATGTGTTTCTCATGAGTGCTCGCACTGTGTGGGCTCTCGCAAAGACTTGCGCAAGTGGCATTTCGTAATTGTCTTTTCGTGACCATAAACTATTTGAAAGTCAAACAAGGGATGCGATATCAGCAATCTTCCTAATGAGCAGAATAACTTGTGACTTGGCTTCAGGTTTGCCACGTGTCAGTGCAAATCAGGCCGAACCGAATCACGGCAAGGACGAGCTGAAGTCCAACCTGGATGTATTTGTGGTCGGGCAGGCCGGGGGGCACGACGGTCAGGGCGTTGTGGTCGAGATGGATCTCCCGCAGGTGGGGGACGTTCACCAGGGTGCCGTTCTCCACCAGGCTGATCTCATTATGGCTCAGACCCAGCCTGTGGGGAACAAGTGACGGGCACCACTTATCTCATTGTATCATTATCATTTGTAGGACACTTGTAGTAGCCGGTGAGAAAATGAGGACGTGGAAACATCCGTCTGCTTGCACCTGTCGTTCCGATCCAAGACTTTAGTGTGACAAAATGGAAAATGAAACACAATTCTACTGCTGCCGCATCAAAGCTTTCTTTGTTCAGTCCCAATTTTCCACTGGGTAGTTTGTGTCCAAATCCGGTCATTTGGACAATCCCGCAACTCTCCTTTTGCTTTGCCAAACTGCATCCAAGAGATTTGAAGAGGATGAAAAAATCCCAAATTCTGAATATCAAAAGTGTCGGTTTGATAGGAAAACCTTCAGCACGGACCGAATACAAAAACAAAGGCTTTTTGCTCTGCTTAATGATTACAGTTGAGGAACTACGGAGACATCCTATAATTTATCGGTACAAACGAGAGAAACAAAACATTTTTAGTACTTGGCTAGCTGCTTGAGGCCTTTCATACTCTCAGCGGTGACCTTGGAGATTTTGTTTCCATCCAGGTGCAATTCAGAGAGTGAGCTGGGCAGACCTGTGCAAAAAAGAAAAATAAAACACAGAACATCACCACCGTCAAGACATCTTTGTTGAGGTTGAATAAATTATGTTAAATGAACAGGTTACCTTGCGGGATCTCTGTAATCTGAGTGTCCGCAATGCGAATGTAGGAGACTCTCTTGAGGTCGGCAAAAGCGCCGGAATCGATCCCCGCGCTCTTCAGGGGATTGGAGCCGAGCTCTGAGATGAAAATTGAGTCATCGGAAGAACGTGGATTCGATGATTCTCCGCCGAATACACGGTGGACATTTTGTTGTCGAGTTACCCATGACGATGACGTGGGACATCCCCTGGAAGGAGGCCTTCTTGATCTTGGTGATCTCGTTCTCGTGGATGCGCAGCTCCTGCAGACTCTTGGGCATGTTGGCCGGCATCTCCTTGAGATGGTTCTTGGACAGGTAGAGTCGCTGCAGCTTGGTCAGGGGGTTGAGGGCCTTGGCGTGGATGCTGCTGATCTTGTTGTTCACCAGGATCAGCGCCTGGGGACGGAAAGAAAAAATATTGGCATCGACGACCGCTGCTCTGTTTCCAATCAGCACAATTCTTTTGTGTTATAATTGGGGGCAATGACATAACCAGAGGCTATAAATCACGCCAGACCACACTGTTTTGGCAAGCCTATCGCTTACACATCATAAAAAACAAGAAAATCATTCTTTCCCAAGGCTGGGAGGTGCTTACCTGCACCATTAGACTCGATTTTGGGACTTGTAAACACAAACTAAGCCATTGTAAGTCCGTCTAGAATTCTAACATTCGAGTTTTTCCACCGTATTGCGTTCCTGCAAGGTCACTGTAAACTTTTCCATGACATCCCGGGAGCTTATCAGTCGTCAGTACAAAGTGGGTGGAGGCGGGAGGGTTCGTCTCCACGCTCATGTCAACAGACTTGAGGTGATAGGAGGAATGTGACCCGTTCCGAAGGGAGAACCAGATCTCGGAAATCCACACGTGAATAGTTTCCGTGCACCCGGCGACTGAAAGGAGTGGTGGGATCGGAGGATTCACCGTAATCCCAACTTTATGAGAACCGGTACATTGCTTAGTCGCGGGTGTATGGAAACCGCGAGCGTATACCCGCTGAGACGGACGGGTGCAAGGCCTCTTACGTGCAGCCCTTTGAGGTTCTTGAAGTCGTTCTCCTTGATCTCGGTGATCTTGTTGTTCTGCAGATCGAGCAGGGTGGTGTCATCTGGGATGTCCTTGGGAACCTCCTTCAGACCTGCGAGGGGAAAAAAAAAATCCACACTCGAGAAAAATATCCCAAAATGTCACTTAAATAAAAATGTTAATTTGCATATTCATCCTGATTCAAAATTCTTAGCCCGCTCAATCACTTTTGTTGGAAATAGGTTCAGTCTAAGTTCCAAAAAAGCAGCAACTTTTAAACCGGTATGTTCACAAGATGCTCCCAAGGGACCAAATAACAATAAATGTTGGCCGTTCTCAGCGGCACACATGGCAGGAAATGGAACTGAAAACAAATTTCCTGAGCGACATAGCTGCACGCCAAGCTCATGCGCTAGCGTCGCATGACACGTGTCGTCAAACAGTCTCGTAAAACCGACACCTGCGCCCGGGATGAGAAATGTTTTAAAGGAGAGGCATATCGTGGTTACGGCGTTTTGCCATCTGTGGCAACACGTGACGGCTTCATTTACATTTGAGGGGCGGACAAACAGTTTCGATTTTTGAGGTCTGGGTTGAGGTTTGAGCTCTTCAGCCTATCCTCACAGATTTGTCTTACGTGAAACCCGAAAAATGTCACCTCATGGGTGTAGCCCCGCTTGGGTTTAGTAGAATCTGTCAAACTTTACGCAACACTTGAAATCTGGCGGCCGACGTCGCGTCTAGTATGACAAATTAGTCGCCGATTGACGTCCAGGAAATGATTAAGACCAAGACTGGATGACTCGCCCTGCAGTTGAAAGTCAAGTCTTGATCGCGAAGACGCGTTTGAATCACTTCCAGCAAATGTTAAGCAAATTTCCTCGCCGCGCCTGCGACACTGGATTACGACAATGTGGAGTTTCTTATCGAATGAGTCTTTTGGTCGGCTGCAAACTGCACACTCGGCAACACTTGCGATTGATTATCATCAGAAGTGGCTCAGTACTCACACTCGGTCCGAAAGTAGGAGAGTCTGGTAAACATCGTACGGATTTAAAAAATAAGAATAATACGTCATTCCGCTAACTTGGTCCTAATTGAAGTCACCTGTCACCCCCGCGGTTGGCGTACCACTTTGAACGGTCACATGTTTCTCATCACCGTACACGGAGCCTCTTCGCGGCTCCCCACTTCCTGTTAATACCGTTGCCACGACAACACAGCCCACAGTGTTTTCATAACCCTCGCTAAGTGTCATTCGAACGCAACTGGGTACTGCTACCGTGGACTGCGCCTGGAACGTTTGTCGGACAGACGCGACACCTTTTTGTGGTTTTTAAGGATTCCAGCCATGGAGCTTCATGGAACACCGTTTGCTCATTATCGGAACATCTCAGTCGAGATGGTTGTCCGGCACTGGATGTTTTACGATCACCGCACCCAGTTTGTCCGTGAGTCTCCGTTTAACCGTGAGACCTGAGCACCCCTTTTTTTAAACAATGAGTGGAAAGAGGGCCTTTTCTTGTCGTGTGTGTATATACTGTACGTCAGATGAGACAAACATGGAAGATAACGTTGGGGTAAACTGTTGTGACTGTGTGGAGAGGAATTGTGCTCTTTAAGTGATCTTGTAGGAGAACATATGGGCTCAATTAACATTTGAGAGTTCCGGTTTTTCCTCCGTCACACAATTCCTCTCAATGGATTAAGACTGCGAAGTTCTGCCGTTTCAGTACGGAAAATCCCCTGCGGTGTTTGGTGAATGGATCATTCACCCTAATTTTACCCAAATCTGGTGGTCTTACCAAGGTCGGAACACTGGACCACACGCAGGTGGCACTGGCAGCGGAATGGGCACCTGGGTCCTTCGGGGAACATCATGGTTTCTTCCACCTGAGTGGGCGACTCGGGCAAACCGGAGCCGGGCTCGTCCTCCATCATGAAGTCCAGGAAGCCAGATTGGCGGAATGGAAGCGCCCAACAGGCGGTGACCAGGAGCAGAGAGAGACAAGCCGATCTCATGGTGCTGCTAGTGGAAGGGTAGCCTGTGGAAAAAGGGACAAAAATGTGACTGGGATGTCTTCAACGTGGGAAAGGAATCGGACTAGAGTGCCTCCAATGCAGAAGGCAAAACAGATGGACGGTTGTGGTGATGTTGTAGATTAAAGATGATAGGCGGTGGTTGAATGCCAAAGCCCGTTAAAAGCGTGGCTGTCAGTTTCTGGACAGAACTTGGCCCACTTGTCCTTCAAAGAGGAAAAGGTTCACAATATGGCGTTGACGAGCAGACAAGGCGACATTAGAACGGACGCGGTCCGGCTATTCCGATGATTTATGGGACTTAACTAAAACTGTAATGTTTGGCTCCGTACTTGGATTTTGACCATTTATCCATCATGAAATACATACTGTTGTGTAATAATTAGCTTTTCCGCAGCAGGTAACAAGTCGTCCAACGATACACTTAAGCCAAGAAAAATGTGAAATTTGCTTTCGACGGCCATTTTTCACGACTCCACTGGTTCTATGCTCACAAAACACACTCGCTGACCTTTCACGGCGCAAGCACCCGCCAATCATCTTGCCATGCTTTGTAGCCTGTGTAAGCTTCGTAATGAAAGGGCACGAATGAGCCACATGCGGCTGACGAGCGATTTGGCTCGGAAATCGCAAACCAGGATGCGGAAACTGAGGCAACGTTTGCCACTGATTGACTGTTTACATGCTCATATAATCCGACAGCATCGTTGGGGCGCTTGAAAGTGTGAATTTTGTCAGTCCCGGGACGGAGTTACGTGAGGCCGCACGGACGACTGCTCGACCCGAGACGTAATGATAACCCTCGTCCCAACCAAAAATGCAGCAACGCCGGTCGGTCTTCAACCACTTCCACACAACCGAGAACGACCTAGATTAGATTATCTGGTTATTGTAAAAAAAAAAAACACATAGGTTTATATTGCTGCACTTTACGACATGTTTGCCATGTTGTCACATGTTTGTTGCAACAAAGACTTCTTGTCTGGGCTTTATAAGATCCAGAGGACATCTTGTTCCACTTTCCTCGCAAACTGAGTCATCTTGGCTCTGTCAAGCTCTCTTATCTCAAAAAAAAAAAAAAAAAGTACATATTCAGCAAAAAAAACAAAAACAAAAAAAAAACAAAGACATCTCATCTGCACACACGGCGGGCCAAGTTCTCGACAAATGCCTTTCGGTTGTTTGTTTAGGGCGAGGTCCTTCGTTGGAAATGTTCATTGTTGGGATTGGACGCACATCTGGCAGCGCGCCGCGGCTACGAGCATTTCAGAAGATGCGTGCAGAATCGGCGCTTTCAGCGTTAAGTAGTCAACCGCGTCTCCCGTTTGTGACCCGCGATGTCCGTGCACCCCCGTCAACTTTTTTTTTCAGCCCCCGTTAAGTTTTCATCAGCCTCTGCCAGACGGCCAGTTTTTCCACGGCAGCTAATCCTGCCTGTAAAACAAGAGTGCCGCACCATCTGACACTTGGTTTGTTTATCCTTTCAAGCCGTGCACCATCTCCAGTAAAAAAAAAAAAAAAAAAATCCAGAGAGCTCATTTATTTGTTGTGCCAGTTTCACTTTTTTTGTTGTTGCAGATAATCAACATAAAAAAATTAGATTAGATTAGATTAGATTAGATTAGATATCCTTTATTTGTCCCACACTGGGGAAATTTACAGCCTTCAGCAGCAAGATTGTGGGTAGAAAGAAGAGAAAAGAAAACACAGTTCAATTAAGTGCAATATAAATACAAACATGGATAAGGTCAATAATTAAGTGCAATATAATACAATAGTCACAGTACTATTCACATATGTTGTCATATCATTTAAATAATTCTATGATTCATTTATTTATTCATTTTTTATTCAGCAGCCTGACAGCACCTTTAGCTAATTTTTCATGTTGACAAGGGTGCTTCACACTTTTGATGACATGAAAAATGTTTGGTTTGTTCTAATTACACTTTTTTTTTTTTTTGCTGATTATGAATTGGCGACATCATCACAGAGATGGCGCACCTCCACACCCCTCCCCGAAAATGCATCACGATTGGAAGGTTTGTGTGTCTAAGCAGATTGACATTATTGACATATTGGATTCAACTTGTTTGTGAGGGTGTGATCACGCACCTCCACCCACCATAGGTTATGTATCATAATTTACCCCCCCCCCCAAAAAAAAATCCCCATAAGCATTTCCTCAAAAACAAAGAAGGGTATCCACCAAATCTCTCATGATTTTCCCATAGGTGCTTAAAACTCCCAAAGCTGAAAACCTTTTCAAACATTGATTTGAATTCAAACTTTTTATTGCCAATAGAATTTGGCGAGATCCAACATCCAAACGGAGACGACGCATCCCCACAAAAAAATCTCTCAAGTCAAAAAGCATCATGTTATCATAACACGACCTGTTGCGCCCTCAGGCACGCAGTTCTGGCGGGATGATGGTCTCGTGGAGAATCCACCGATAGCAGGACACGTGTCAAAACATGCCGCAGCACGTCTCCGCCTCAAACATTTCTTATCTGCGCCTCAAAGCAAAATGTAGCTTTCCTCCCACCACCCCTACAAAAACTGTTTTGTCTTCCTTCCAGTGAGTGAGAAGGATATTTTCGCTGGGATGATTGCTGATCATTTTTCACGGCATTCCTTTTTAAATAGGGTTGTAATATTTCCCAGCTGTGGCTTTGCGTGCGCGTATGTGTGTGTGCGTGTGTGTGGCAGGTACTGCGGGGACTTACCATGTGGAGGATTTAGCTGTTTTTGAACATGCTTTTTGGTTGAGTCATCAGAAGTTCTAAAATGTCCACCTAATCTTCCAAGTGGTGAGAGCGGGCTAATTAACTCTTAGCTAAGCCCATCCCAGACTGTGTTGTGTGCCCCCCCCTCCCCCCCAAAAAACCCCTCTTGACATAAATGCAGCACTCCTCCTCTCCTGTATACACCCTAAAAAAAAGTCGCTTGATGAAACAACCCGTTGAAACGCACCCCCAAAACAATTTTTTGTGCTTTAAAAGAAAAGTGTTTTCGGACAATATTTGATATTGATTCAGTACCAACTACATACAAGACCAGTATCAGTGATACGGATACTGATAGCGATTTTCTTGGTAATCAAGGTAGACTTTCCATAACTCTTTGTCTTTAGGGGTGCCTCTGGGGTGGTATTTGTTGCTGCAATTTTTTTTAAATAGTTAAGGTGGATTAATGGCAAGCCATACTGCATGATTTGGTATCATTCCCTGGTATCGTTCCCATAACAAGTCAATAATCGATGCTGGTATCAATATTTGGGTAGAGTTGGGAAACTGGGGAGGTGTTGTTTCTGTGCAAGGACTTCATCAAAATTTGGCCCCCAGACTGGAAAATATCTCCATGTTCTTCTTAAAACATGACTGAGATCTGAATGTATGACCAAGAGACCAAAGCTCCTTCCAAGTCAGTCCCATCCCCCCTTCATGGTGCCCCCCACCCCTTTAAACGTGGCCCCAGCACTCCTAATGAATCCCAGGCAGGAAGCGGCGCTGGCTGGCGTAATTTTTCCTCCACTTGCTTTTTGTGTCATTTTCCCAGCTTACATTCGACTTTTGACAACACTGTCGCTGCGTTGACAGCATTGTCAAGGCCTTGTGACATTTAAAACACGTGTGTCCCCATTAACCCCCGCCTACCCCTCCCCCAGCCTCAAGCCTCCTCATCCTCCCGTGCATGATGAAAAAGTTTCTGGAAGAGTTCCCACCGCCGGTTTTGTGACTTATCAGGAAATTTCACAAGAGCCAACATGTGCAAACACTCAAGAGTGAGTGAACGAACCCCCCCCCCCCACCCACTCCCTTGTAAGACAATAGACAGCACCATTATTAGGATTTTAAAACTATATTTTTTTGTATATGTTCGACGTTTCTGCCACCACCCATTTCCATCCCCCCGTCGCTTTTGGTATGTCGCTCCACTGTTTGATCCTCCTAACTAGAAAGGCATGTGCAACTTTCATTGTTCTTGAGCTTTTGGACTGCAGATGGGGAAAGAAGAGCCCAAGATCTCCTCTGCACAAACCTTCCATTCACTCACGGCTGCTTTTAAATGTTAAACATCTGTTTGGCTCCACGCTGATTGTCCTCCGAGCCCAGATTTTCATTTCTTTTTTTTTTCCACTGCAGCCTATAAGTCCCATTCGTTCTTTTTGCTGCTGGCAAAGAGGATGTAATGAGTTAGCTTGAGAGCTCTTCTCGATGATGGAGGATGAAAGCTGTGCAATTATACGATTTAATGGCAGGTACAATGTTTATTATTTTTTTCATCTTGCGTTCAAAGCCTTTAAACTGCCCCTCGAGCAATTTGGCTCCTGCAGGGAAGCGACGCGTAGGAGGAGGAGGTTCTTTTTTTTTTTTTTTTTGACAGATAAGGGCTTTGCTGCTCAGAAACAAGCCATTATTCATGTAAATGGGGTGAATAATCACAGAGAAATGCTTGTTTTTCCTCATCGATGCAGCAAATCCAAATATTTTCCCAGCACAAATGACAGTGAATTCCCCCTCCCCTCTCCACCACCACCACCCATTTGTGTTCTCTCTGTGTCAACACAAAAAAAGTTACATTTTCAAGCCGTCGCCATGCAGGAATGCTGGAGCTTCCATGCGGGCTCCATCCAAACAATCAGTCGGCCAAGTGTCAAAACAATCCACTTGGCTACAAAAAAAAAAAAAAAAAAAACAAAACGGCAGGAAAAGGCAGAATTGGATGAACAAAAGACCAAAGCGAGGGAGAGTGAGAGAACCAGCATCAACAGGCACCCACCACACCCCCTTTATCCCAGCAAAAGGGCGCCTGAGTGGAATTCCAAGTGGGAATCAGAAAAGCTTGCAAAGACATAGAAGATCAATACACATAAAATGACATCGTCCAAAAAGCTTTGCGCATACGTTCCGATTACTTTTCAGCACTTTTCCCCCCCTCCCGGTCATACGATTCCCATCATTCTCCCCCTAGAAGTG